TTAGTTTGTCCAATGTTAAGTCATAGTTTGAAACCTACTAATTGAGTTCTTCTAGCATCTTTAACTTGCAAAACCTACATTTCATGGTTAAATATAATGCTTGATAGAACTGCCTGTATTCCACATTTGCTGCCTCTGGCTGTGTTTTTAATTACTATTCTAGCAAATGACTATTATTATTCTGGCAAAACTCATTATTGAAGTCATTAGTGTAGACTCAGTACCTCTGATATGCCTTCTGATAAGAAATACATTTACTAGGCCTAGCCTGCTCGATCTGCAATGTTCAGTCAAAACTGTGCTAAAACTGAAAAGAGCTGCAAAACAACTTCACTTTTTATGCCCCTGCAGCATGTATACCATAAGGGCTATCTGTTATTTTGAAGGAACTGGGCCATATGAGCTGCAGTATGGATACTTTCCTCAGGATACTTTCTTTTACTTATCTTGAGGCTGAAAAAAAATCTCCTTTTTTGCTTAATCAACAACATCAAACCACTAAAAAGTATTTACAAATACACTTTCTGCAACTTCTGTCTCCAACAGCTCTCAAGAACTGCTTGGATAAATAACATAGCAAGCCATTTTAAGAGCAGCCTCCACTTTTCCACCTCTCTGTCTTTATCAGGGGTAAAAAGTGTCTTGTTGTGTTGTCATTTATTTTGGGGACTATGCGGCCGCTCCCTCTGAATCGTGCCACGGAGAGCATTTTATTCCTCAGTCTTTCTGGCAGAGATGACTATGCACACACTTACTCCTCCCAGGCCAGGAACAATTACCTGCCAGCCCACAAAGCAGAGGCAGTGGTTCAGCCCTGCCCGAGAGACCAAAATACCAGCTTCACTGAGAGAGGAGAGCCAAGAGCCCAAGGACGTTTGCTTTTTTTTTGACCACCAAGTGAGAGTGCTTGTGTGTTTTTATACTCCAAAATAGAGGCTAGTGCTGAAGGACTGAAATGATCCTGTTGAAATGAGTCAGAATGGTTTAATGTTCTTTAGATCATTTAATGGATGAAAGTGTTTTTTCTTTTATCTACATCAAACTGTCACTCTGGTTATTGTGTTTTGTGCAAAAATGCCCTATTCTCTCAAAATGATTAATGTAACAAATTTTGTATTCAAAGAATAACACGCATCTCTGTGCTTGGACCCACTTATTGCCAATTGCGGCTATATTTTGTTTTGTGATCTGTGTTTTGTTCCTCACTTTGGCAGTTGTTTACATGCAGATCAGTAAATAGGAATGCTTCAGTTTAACGCTGTTGTTTTCTGCACATTATGCCATGGCTTTGCACTATCTTTATGTTCATAAATGCATAGGATGTGTAGTTATGTGTCCATTTATAATGTTTATAAAATGTCCATTGATTTTATTATGATACACAATTTACTCCCTAGGAATTAATACAGCGCATCCATCCATCTTGCTAGATAGCTCTATTTTTTGACAAAGCTGTAGGTAACAGTGAAATATTCATGATGTAGTTCTAAAATAACATCCCTGACATACAGTACTGTGTATAAGTCAGGGACCATCCTACATATATTTCATTTCAAGTCAAAATGGCCATTAAGTATTTCAACATCAGGAAAATAAATAGAAAACAAATATTTAGCATAAAATTACACAAAGGCCTCAACAACTGAACATAATATCACAAGTTTCAGTTTTTCAAAGAAAGCTATAGGGATCATTTTTCACACCTGCAAAGTTCATTCTTAGAAGTTGTTTGCATTTTCTCAGTCCATCGTTCTGAGAACACCAGCACCTTCTTTGTTTGATTTGCAGGTGTTTTTCTTTTGTTTATTTCCTTTTCTCAGTAATGGCTTCTTGACAGTTACACTTCCTTTCAGACTCAGTTGAGTTGTCTTCTCACAGTGGGAGGATGGACAGAAATACCTATACATTTTTTGAGAGCTTTATGTATAGCTTTGCTCATCTATCATGTCTTGTGTGGTTGTTAAGAGTTCCATTGTCTCTGTATCTTTAAATAATTTTTGAACACCAGTTTTGCTACCTTGTACATTTTGACTCAAAATTAGGTAAATAATCGGTGGTCTCTGCCTTATTTTTGACAGTACTGTATATATTGCTGTATGTATTGTAGGTTTCTATATCCAATATGATTACAAAATACACAGCACACTTTTCAACAAGTAAATGCAACGTCACTTTTCAACACGTGAAATGCTGAATTCAGCAGCCTAAACTGTTCCCCTAAAGCAAATCTAAATCCCCAGCAACTGTTGGTTTAAGATGTGATCTCATCCTATTCCTGTTCACCTTAGGAAATAAGTGAATGTTCCCAGTGCAGATGTTTTCCAAAGATACACCCTGAGATGAAAGGAAATCCCTCCCAGGACTGATAGAAATCTCAACCTTGAATCACTTGCTTCCAAAGTGTGACGTCATTGAAAAGCCAGTGAAATAGCAGTGAGGTCATAAAGTGTCATAACAACCCAACAACAACACGAAACAAGAGCACACAATGTCTTTGGGCATTTAACATGTAGTGTAACTATTAAAGCTTGTCCTCACTCACATACTGAACTTACTCATCATAGAACCAATTACATAATGGATTTGGTGTACCAAAAATGGAAGACAATAAAACCAACTCTGAATGTGATTAATATGTTCCACTATGCCAGAAATAGAGATGGAAATGTGCATCGCCCACTTTCCTACATAGTACACTTGAGAGATCTACTTGTGGAACATGCATCACTCAAAATACCACCAAATAATACAATTGATTAATTCAAACAGGGCAGAGAGATCATGAATCGCTGTAAGAAAAGCCCTCTCCCACGCCTTGGCCTGCTTCTGCAGCTTTAAACTGATCAGCCACACAAATTCCTGAGCTGTGCAGCTGCAGCAGAGTGGGCAGAACTTCCCACGTAAATGAAAACACATGCAAATATAATAAGCCCCAATTAGGGCAACTTAGCCTCCAAAGTGCACCACTTTTCACAATCAAATAGCTTATATATTGTTTGATTGTTTGCATTCCCACTGCTGATTGAGGCTTTAGCCATAGCTACTCCACCACCAAACAGTGGAGAAGAATGTATGTTAAATGAACAGACATGTGGAGTACAGCTACTTTATTGGAGTGTGTGTGAGTTTGTGTTTGTTTTTGTACATTTTCAGTAGAAAATTACTTTTTCAGAAAAACTGGGCTACTGGACCAACAAAATGTGACTTTGTAAAGTATGTCTTACTAAAGCTTCACGTTTCATTTTTAAAACTGAACGGGTCAAATGGGGCCTGTGCAAGACCTAAAGTGTCACCATCAGATTAACAGTAAAGCTATTGTATTTGAGAGAGAGGAGAAAATCAAACTCTACTCCTGGTTCAGATTTGCAAAAATCCACAGGTGTTTCTGTCCATCCTTCCACTGTGAGAAGACAACTCAATGCTATGAGTCTGAAAGGATGTGCAGCTGTCAAGAAGACCTCACCGAGAAAAGAATTAGATCAAAAAAGAAGAACATTTAAGGATCAAACTGACCTCAACATCATTGCATGTGTTCAGGATTACTTGAATCGTGGGAAGCAGAAAATGCAACCAACTTCTAAGAACTTTGAAGGTGTGGACCAATATCCCTACAGATTTCTGTAAAAAACTGAAAGCAAGATTCCTAAAAAGAATGGAAGCTGTAATTAAGATAAAGCGTTAATATTTTTTTGCTTTTTTTTCCTGATTTCGAAAAATGAATTACTTCATCATAACAATTTCCATTTTTGACTAGAAATTAAGTTAATTAAAGGGTGCTTTCTGGCTTTTGCGCAGTACTGTAGGTATTTACACATAAGTGTGTAAATATGGGGCATAGTATTGTTATATATAGATGTTTATGCATATATACATGCTTGTCTCTCTTTGTAGGCCATAAAAGTATGAACCATTTTCAGATCTTCTTATGCAGTACATCATAATGAAGTTTTGTTGGCTTATGAAACCTAAAACCCCAGTTACAATCCACAGTCCTTTCTGCCATCACACTCCTATTTTAAATAGCATTGCCCTTGCTGTGTTGTCATGCTCACGCATTTATTTTGGTTCTTGGACTCGGCCCCGCTATTGGGGACACTATTAAAAAGCCATTGTTGCTGCCCTTGAAAAGATCTTGATTGATATATAAAAAGTACCATTTGACGAGATACTGAGATACTCATGACACGGAAGGACAACAAACAGTAACAACACTAAACTAAGCTGAATTTCTGTGCCATTTCATAAGTGAGGTTAAAATAGGGAAGAGAAATACACATCTGTTGCACCCATAGCAGGGCCTGCAATCACATCTGGGGTAACCCAAAATGTAATGACGTTACTATACACCAGATGAGATGGAAGGCAACCACCTTTTGAAGTTCTCTTAATTAAAAGCTGGGTTAACCAGAAAAGCAGATCCCTGCTTGAGCAGAGGAAATGCCATAACTAGTATGTTTTGGAGAGTGGTTGCTAAATGGATGATATTTCAGGAAATGAAATATGTAACCTCAAAATGTTACTGCTTTGGCTAGGAGCTTTTTAACTTGCATAAGGAAGAGAAATAGTGGCGGCAGCTGTGGTCCAAAAGCCACTGATATTAGCTTTTAGCAAAAACAGCCAAAATGGCCACCTGTAGTGAGTGGAAAGGAAAACATTTTTCAAAAATAAGGATGCCAAAATGTATTCTTTGGAGTGATGATGCAGAAATATCTCTTTTGGTTCTGTGGTTTTCAAACTTGTCCTCATGGACCTTCAGCAAACTAGTCTTCATGGACTATTCAACCAATAAGGATAGAGCACAATGGTTCCTAAGGACCAGTTGGATAACCCTGGCCATATCCTTTAATGGACGTCTCTAAAGAACCATTTTTGTAAAAGAGAGGATAGTATTAAGAACCCTAACCTCCACATAATATTTTTTTTTTTTTCCTAGATCTATACCTCCAAGCCAAGAACCATTCAGGAACATTTATTTTTAAGAGTTAAATGAATGAATGTACCTGTGGATGGTGTCCTCTAATTTCTTGACGTGAAGCTCATCCTGCTCAATCTGTTTCCTCCGTCCTTCGTCTTCCTCATGAGGTCCTGCTGGAGTTCCTTGCAGAAGCCATCTTTCCCTAGTTGCTTTGGACTAGAGACAAAAAATAAAAACAGTGTATAGGTTGATATTTGAGCTGATTTTACCCTTTTGCACAATCAGTTAAGTCACAAGTCACTCAAAAAATACCAGTTCAGTCTAAAAATGAACTTCTTGTGGTAACAAATAAGAGTTTAGCTAGTTTTATTCAAAGCAGTGGTCTGGGCAAAAATGCATTGGCAACACTTTACTTGGACCCAGCTCTATAACATTACCATGCTATAAACATATCAGATGTTATACATGGTAATGAGTTGTCATGACAGATTTGTTCAGTAATGTAACTGTCATGTTACCATTACCATTTATTATCATGTCTATAGATTTGATGTCATATGTCATTACATTATGTCATCTGTTTGCCGTGTACCAGTAATGACAGCTTTGTGTTGCCATTTGTCATGCTTCCCTCTGGTCCTCCCAGTCTACGAACTCTATTTCCCAGAAAACCCTGCCAGATCACATGACCCCAGATCTCCCTCACGTGACTCTCCACCACTCCCTTTCACCTGATTATTGATTTAGCTCACCTGTTAAGCACACTATTTAAACCCCCCCCCAGTTTCTTTGTACATTGCAAAGTATTGCCTTTGTTTCATAGAGTCTTACTGAGCCTTCCAGTCTGTTTGTTTGCTTTTCCATGTATGAGCTTTGCTTCATTTGTTTTTTTAGTCTCATCTTTATCCTTGCCCTCTTAGTATTTTTGGTATCTCTGGTTTGACCTTCTTTTCTGGTTTCTGAACTTTTTTTGAACTGTCCTCATGGTTAATGTTTTCTCGATTTGGCTTTTGACATTGGATTGGTTGACCTCGTGTTTGAATTATCCTCTTGCAAATAAAGCTATTTTATTCAGTTTGGTCTGCAAGCGTCTGAGTTCTGTATGAACCTGACACCGTTACTGGTGAATGGCATGACAGATGACATAATGACAACTCTGCCCAACATGTTTATGTCAGTTACAATTATGTCAGTGTTATGTAGCAGGGTTCAAGTAAAGTGTTACCTTTTAGGCATTGCAGTTTGCATGATCCCATTACTTGTTAGCTACATTAGCCTCACAGCACCAGTGCAAAGCTGAAGAAGCCAACTTCAGAAAGCAAACATATCGTAGCAAATGGACTTCATTTTCTGGTAAATGTAAAACTGCACATTTATATTGTTGGCTAAACCATTACTTTAAAATGAAACCAAACAAAATAATAGTTACTGATGAACCAAATGCAGCATTGTTCATCAATCCACATCGCACAAACGCTTCAAATCAGTCTCTGCCCTGTTCCACTTTTTCCGATTTCCATTTCCACTCGTCCATTTCCTCTCAAGCAAACCTGATTGAGTTCCTCTATTTTCACACCATTCTGACCTGCACATTCATGTAGCCACCACAGAAAACCATTACTTCAGCTCAACACCAGCTCGACACATTGCACACCAGCTCGGCAGGTGGATCTCAGATGTAAAACCCATTCAGATCTGTTTAATACAGATAGTAGATGTTGTAAAAAAACAGGTTCTTCTCTTTGTTGGCTGGGTTTGTGTGGTGAGGTGTTATTGCTGGACTCGTGAAAGCCCATGGGCCCCTTCTGCTCCAGGCAGCTGCCCTCATGCTGAGGGTCAGCCCTGAGAACACAGGAATGCTCCTGACCGTTTCACAAGCTGTTGAAGGTATGTGACAGCAAGCAGAGCACAGCATCTGAGATTTCAGCACTGCCTCCTCGCTTGCTGTAAGAGGACCCTGCTGGATGTTTTGACCCATAAAGCAGTTTGAAGGCTCTGCTAGTACGAATCAGTGTTGCATAATGTTCACAAAGCAATGTGGTTGGAATTCTACTCATGGCACTTCATGTTTTTGAGCACTGCTTGCAAGTGATACTGTGAATGCTCTACATTAGATAACTCTTGCTATGAAGTGTAAAGAGGCACGTAGGTAGGTCTTGCCTTTGAAAGTTCAGCTATTTCTGAGAAGCACCTGAACAAACATGGAATCAAATGGAATCAAAGGCCTTTTTACATTTTTTTCTTTTGGTGGAAATAAAGTTACTATGAGGTCTTGAAGGTCCTACAAGTACTTTTCCTGTAAAACATACCAACAGATTGGTTATAAATTCATGCCTTGTCTTATTCATTTTGCCACAAGAACAGGCAATAATAGCACCAAAAAACAATGCTTTCAAATAACCCCAGTAAACCAGCATTGTGTCTATTTAGTGACTATTTTCCAGTGAGAATTTGGTTCAGACTGTGTTAACACCCACTGCTAAATAAACATTCCATTTCCTGGATCTGCTCTTCTTTTCCAGCCTAGCTCCTCATTCACTCCATCTAGCCTTCATAAAACATCTGAACGTTCCAGTAAATATACACGCGTTCTTCTCAATTCAATTGATCCTGGCTTTGTTCATAGGTGTCAAAAGGCTGCTAGCTGAGGTATGCTAGCTCTGGTTCTGTCATGTATTCTTAGTAAACCTTCACTGTTTGTTCTGCGTCTCGCTCCAGTGTGCTGATGTAGTCTTTAGAAATGTCCCCCAGGCTCGAGCTTTATCAGATCTCACTCAGTCTCTGGGAACAAGTGCGTCTTTCCTCTAAAGTTGTCTTTTCTCAAGAGGGCTTGAGAACAAAAACTCTTTTGAGAGTCACTTCCAACTTGGCCACATTTGTTTTTGTGAAACGCAACCAGCATGAAATGTGGGCAATTACACCACGGAGCTATTCTGTCTAAATGAGGCAAACCCCATCTATGTGATAACACCCTAAACATTCCAGAAGGTCAGAGATGTTTGTAGACTTGGCTTCTTATAGAGACAAGCATCAATGGGAAATCTGTTGTAATTTCACTGGCTTATTTTAGAGTGCAGAATTACACTAACTGAAACGACAGTAAACAGAAAAGAAATGGTGACACTTTATTCTAGTGTTCATCAGGTCACATCACACCTACAGAAGCCCTTCATGACAACTGACTTACATAAGCATTTATAAACACTTATTCCTATAGATGTCATTCATCATAAAAGTTGCATTTGCCAACTTTGAAGTCAAATTGACATAAAATCTGTGTCATCTGTTTTCTCTCATTAGGTTGTGTCCCGACATTTCTGAGGTGAATGACACAGGGGCAGATTTACTAAAAGAGGCGCTAATTACTGACAGTCTGGCGCTTTGCACCGAAGGGAGTGGCTAATTTTGTGGGATATTTGCTAAGAAATTCAATGCAAATAAACCCAGGCACAGCTTCATACTTCATATATGACCAGCGGAATATAACCATGTATGTGGCTCACATGCTTTTTGCATGAAAGTGCAATATTTGGCAAACTAACCAGATGCTTGCGGATGTAAAATTTTGAAAAGTATTTATTGACAAGGAGCGAGTTAACAAAAGGGTTTGTGAATTTAGGCCAAATCAGAACATTGAAGAGCAAAAATACATACATGAGCACTAGTTAAAGAGAGTAGGCCAAAAACATGCATGAGTCAAAGCCAGAACAAAAAAGTACAAGCAAGAAAATGAATGCTAGGTATGCAACGGGCAAGGCTGGCAATACTTCACAATGAACATGAGAAACAAACTGGTATCTATGTAGATGCATGTAACAAGGAATGAGTGTAAACAGTTCAGTAGTCAGGCCACATGAATCAAGGAAACTGTCTGTGACTGGGTGGGTTCATGGTGTGAGTGTCAGGAGAATCATGGAAATTGTAGGTGTCTGGAGTTGATGAATTAGGTTTAAATAATTACTTAAATTCTCAATATTTCCCAATATCTTGAGAAAGTCAGAATAATGACTAACTCGAAAAAAAAAATGACTCACCCAGAAAAAAAGAAATAATCACTTACATCATTAATTATTCAAAAAAAAAGACATTAATCCATCAGAAATTATGAAGTTGAAGTAGTTAATTATGAAATTAAGTAGTTACTTTGCCCTTCTCATTTTCAGCCAGTGGTATGTGCTGGACTTTTGGGGTCATTTGAGAAATATGTGATTTTGAGTGTAACCAGAGAGCACAGGAACAATGATGTAAGAAGTAGCTTGAGTAAAGCAGGGATTGCAGATTTAAAGAGTTTTAATATGTGCTTTTAACAATTATTTGGAAAAAAAATCAGATCTTTATTTAGGCAAAACCTGCTCTTTGATATTATGGTAAAATATAACTAAAATATTAGGAAAAAGTTGTTGAAAATGTCATTTTTGAAAATGTTGAGTTTTACGTGACATGGGAGGTTTTCCAGTGTTTTTTTTTAAATGTAGATGTATTTGAAAAACTTTGCGTCAGTGCAAAACATTAGTAAATCTGCTCCATAGGGTTTGTAGTTCATGTCACCATGACATAATGCTGCACTGTAAAAAGTGAGAAGTCTGCTCAACTTAAAATGATATAGTAACTGATTACATGGCTTTTCTTGAGTTGACTCAACTTGAGGACACCAGAGTTCACACAACTCAAACATCTTGGCTGAGTCAAAAATGCTCCCAGCTACTGTTTCTAGGTCTGCATCTCAGTTAGATAAACAAAACTGAATGTGTTTTTTTACTCAATTTCCCCACTAGCTGGTGCTCCTTCTATCGCACAGTCCCATCTGGCATATTATCCCCTTGGGCTTCCAGATACAGACGGCTACGGTGTTGCTGCGATTCAAACTCACAATCTCCTGATGTTGGGATGAATTATTAGATAGTTGCACCACATGAGACTATACCATGCTTCAAACTTAAAACAACAAATAGTTTCTCCAGTGTATTAGACAGTTGTAGACACAAAATCTGAGTTGCATCATGTGTTCCTGAGTGGTGCAGTGGACTAAGCTGTCACTCCAACAGGAGGTTGTGAATTTGAGGCCCAGCAATGCCATAGCCATTTCTAAGTGTGTGTCCAAGAGAAAAAATGTCTAGCAGCATTGTGTGATAGAAAGAGTCCTGGCTGGTGGGCAAGTTGAGTACAAAAAAACAACTTCATTCTATTTACCTCACAGAGATGCGGAACTAAAAAATTAAGAGAACTTTTGGCTCAACTATGAAGTTTGTGTTGTGTGAACTCTTGTGTCCTCCAGTCCAAGTCAACACAAGTAAAGCAATGAAATCAGTTACTATATCATTTTGAGTTGGGCTGACTTCTCACAGTGTGTTAATATAATGTAGTTTGCCAAGTAAAGTTAGGTGAACAAATTTTATTTATAAAAAAATTATTTGACCATTTATAAGACTTAAGCATTTATACGACTTATGCATTTTAGTATGAATTTAAGTTGATCAACGAAGAGATTTAAGCTGTCACATTATCAGCATTATGTCATTGCGATATACACTAAGCTACAATGTCAGTTCTTATAACATGCTGTCATTTCACCCAAAAAAGTGTCAAGGGACAGCTCAGTGACCCACTAACCCAAAACACTGATGTCACCCAAGCAGCCTTTATGACAAATGCCTTTTGGAATAAGCCTTTATAAATGTTTATGGAGGTTTATGTCATTGGTCATGTCAAGCTTATGTAGGTGTTATGAGTACTGCCATATAGTAAAGAACCCCCAAGGAATTAGAAGTGGTTCACCAACACCATCACTAAACAAGTACTGTATTTTATAAGATAACAAAAACAGAACATAGTAAATCACTTTCAACACATTCCAAATGAACACTTTCAACAAGTCTTATATTATCATCAGACAACTGGTAGCAAGTAACAAAAGGCTGTGTGTCATTCACTGTTAATCCAGCCAGTGCTTAAACATACAAAATATCATTGTCATGCACTCTCCAAAAACAGAATGGAACACATTCAGAAGTGCTATATTTCTTACCTTGAGATGTTGAAGTTGCAGGACAAGGTCATCTAACTGTCTTCTTTTATCCTCAATCTCAGCTTGCCTTTTTCGCTTCTCCTGAAAAAGATGAAGTTTTGTGTTACTGATTGAGGTTAGGAATCGATTTCGCTGTTTACAGGTTGTTTAGCTTATGACTGGCCATCCCATATTTCCTAAAATGTCCAAACATAGAGAATACAAATGCTTATTTGTGACTGAATATGACCACAGTGGTCACAGGGTTGGCCCATTTGTATACCATTTGATATCTGTGAGAGATGAGTAGGATGACATCAGGAGTATCCTCAAAGGTCTAATAAACCCGGTCCCAGGACAGTCTAAATACAACTCATCATATCCTGTCTAATCAGGCTCATGAGCTTCCATATCAATAGATTTGCTTCTGCAGTTCCCTTGAGTCAGTCAAACAAGGGCAACGTCTGATGGGAGCCATCAGGATTGGAACCCACGTTTTCAACTCTCTCTCTCTCTCTCTATTTCTCATTTGGTGGGATACAGTTTCATATGAGAATCTGTGGTGTGGCTGAATTGACATCAACAAACAAATGTAGGAAGTCAGTAACAGAACAGTGGGAGATTATTTACAGCTCATTCATGCATAACATTTGAATAACATGCTACATGCAGGTTAATATGGGCAGACATTGAACACCAGAACTTAAATTTATCTGTTTTTTAACCTCACAAATTTTACAAAGCTGTCCATTACTGAATAATAAGTCTGTCCTGCGATGTACTGATGACTTGTCCAGGGTGTTTCCTGCCTTCCACCCAATGACCGCTGGGATAGACTCGAGCCATTCCCCCCACGGCCCAGAAAGATAAGTGGCATAGATAATGTGTGTGTGTGTGTGTGTGTGTGTGTGTGTGTGTGTGTGAATAATGTCTTCAGAGTAATGAATGAGTTATAACCCTTGAGATTATGTGGTTAAAGCACAAATACAACACAGAACAAAATTGCATGTCAAGCATTATTACTGTCATTTTGTGCTATTATGCAAATATAATTGTAATAAAATGTATCTAATTACATGTCACGTTACACCATGGATTACATATACATTCAATGTGCAATCTCGATCGACGGGTCTGTGATTCCAGCTTGTGTCCATGTGTTTTGATGGCAAGTTTTCGCTTAAAAGTGGCATAAATGTAAAGGATGGATTTCTTTACACAAAACTAAATGCACAACAATAATTATTGTTCCATGTTGCAGGTTTTATTGTGTGATGCAACGCAATGTAACATCGCAGTATTCAAAAATAAGAACAAGCCACTAGAGCTTAATAATCATTATCATAGTGTTCATGGACTGTGCCAAAAGGGTTGAGGCCTATAACATTGAATGGTTGTAACATTCAGCATATGTAGCTCCTCGCTTTTCCCCAGTATACACTACATATGATTGACTTCCTGTCCTCCAAGTAACTTCAAAAAAGGTCCAGTAAAGGGATATGTTGCCACATATGTAGGCCATTCTGGTTATTCACCAACTGAACAAATACCCAAGCCAGCGCTGACACAGATTCACGGCTGCATTCCAGCCTGAGCTGCAGGGCTGGAGTATGTGCTCCCCTGTGCATTCTCACAGAATGTGCACTAATGTCGAATCCAGATGTTAACACAGAGAGAAACGTGGGCCTAAAAATTGACTTTTTTATGTACACTGTTCCTCTGTGAATGATGTTACATGAGGTAAAATAGAGAAAGGCTTCAGACTGGAACAGTAAATGTAAAACATTGCTAGTTTTGAAAGGGATGTGGAAGACAATGGGAAATGGAAGGCCTGCATTATTTAAGACTAACTGCTCATGTTAATTATTCACCCCTGAACAAAACATCAAGGACATATCACACACACACACACGCTCTCCAACTCACACCACTGATGCAGTAGAGTAGCTGTGAATAACAATCACACCAGCATTAAATGCCCAGAACCCTACAGGTTTCCATTCCTCACTCTTATAACTCAGTTTGCATTGTTTTCCATGTAATTAGTGAATAATATGCCTAATAAGATTGTGAATCTAAAGGGTTAAGACTGAGTTTTGCCCAGAAGTAGTAGTCTGTCTCTGGACTGATTCATCTCTCACACGATTAGATCCTGGAGCCAGCTTGGCTCAATGTAAACTCTCTCTGCTTGTCCAAGCAGACACATCTGAGGTGTGTTTAATTCTCAAGTTATAAACTCCATCTGATGATTACCAGCTTGGCAGGAGCAGCATAAACGTTGGCCCTTTGAGACAGCCTTGATGTTAAACCTGTTCTGAATGTCCCACAGGAGATCTTCACTGTTTCTTCCAGGACTGAGATGAGTACAGGGCACTACTGGCATGGGTACAATGTGTTATTTGCCATATGCAGCTCTTATTTTGTTAGCTGCCATCAATATGGTGAAGAACTCTTCAGGGTGGGCTGATTTTTGACAAAAAGTCCACTACCTGCAACCAAAGAAGCCTACAAACAGCATCTGAAAACCTACAAAACTTAATCCTTGAAAATCACAGAATATTACATATTAAGGCTTATTATTCAGTAACTACAGGGACTTCAATACAAACTGGTTGAGCTATTCTAAGGACATAGAAGTGTGTAATAAAACTTTGGGCCCACCAGTGGGCCCTGGCCATTTAAGCGGTTAAATTAATTCATACAGCTTTTATTCTGCTATGAAACGTGTTGCTATGAATGGCTTTTTACCTTTATTTACATTTGCTTTTAATTCTGTTGGGGAGGATTTTTACCCAATCCCCCCACCACCATTTAGTCATAGACTCCACCACATAATGCTACCAAGAATGATTACTGCCAGTTCTGTTAAGTCAGATATCAACCAATGTTAGAGCCAAAACAGGGGCCTTTTCACATTAATAAAATTGAACAAGGTGCTAAACAAACTGATGATATACATGCTATAGCTTTGGTTACCAAACAGAGTGGTCTATTGGTTTATTAAGAGGGACATTACGCATAGCTAATTAAGTTTCAATTTAGCATCACAATGCCTCACTCTTGTTTTTTGGTAAGTTTTATTTTCATCAGCTTGATGTTGAACTTTAAGTAAAATGTTGTTTGCAGAGTTTACAACCCATCTCTTTGGAACCATCTAAGCAAATTTCAAAGGACTTTATTATGTTCTTCAGCACCCAGCACAATGCATGACAGGTATACGTGAACAATACCTTCAACAATGAAGAATGCTTGAAATTAGACACTGGCTACACTTTATGTCCAAAGTATTCAGACACCCCTTTCCAATTAGTTAATTTTAGCTAATATAGAATGGGAAACTCTGGAGCAGCCTCACATTAGCCTGAGGTCACCATGCCCAATGCCAAGCGTTGGCTAGAGGGGTATAAAGCAACATTGGGTGTGGAGCAGTGGAACTGCATTCTCTGGAGTGATGGAGCTCTCTCCAATATCTTTGGGATGAGCTGGAGTGGCTTCTGTGATCCAGAACTAATCTTCCAACATCAGTACCTCACCTCACTAATGCTCTTGTGTTTGAATACATTCAAATATTCACAGCAATGTTTCAATATCTAGTGTAAAGCCTTGCCAGAGGAGTACAGGCTGTTACTGCAGCAAAGAGGGAACAAACACTGTATTAGTACCATTGATTGTAGAAGAAAGGACGGATAAGCAGGTGTCTACAACACAGTATATTATATACATTCAGAACTTTTTAAAAGCAGTAGTAAAAACAACCAAACAAAAAGTAAGTAAAGAAATAAGTAACACATTAATAAATTTAGTTAGTCGACTGACTGAATCTTTTAAGTAGTTGCCTGTTTGACTTACAGGAGGCAGCTCTGTTAGGAGGTGGAATTTGCAGAAGTTCATGAAGGAAAGAAACCAGATAAGTTATTTAAATTCATGTAATGTATACTGTTATTTGAATCTAGGCAATATTACGTCATTTTGATGGCATTCCAAGTGGACATGCATATGTACTTACACTTAATTACGAGAAGCAAGTCTGTTTACAGTACACCACATCAACAAACACCACTAGTATCTGTCAGCTGTCTCGCGTGCTTGTCCTCTGACTGAGCAACTATAATTAACTTGACGGTGCATTTTTCACCACGTGTTTGGTAAATCGCACTCTGGAATGGCAGTAGCCTCTGCACTCAGCCCCACACTGATGGCTGGTCTATTTCTTGCCAAGTATGCTCACATATACTGGCAATGAGGTTAAAATACAGACTTAGCCAGGGACACGCGAGACCAGGGGTGTAAATCTCTGACCTTACAACAATTTGGTTTAAATATGATTTTTTAGCAACTGAGTAAATGCACTTTTAACACTACAGTGAAAACATAAACAAAGGAAGTGAAGGAACTTCACGTGGTAGTGGAATATAAATAGTTGAAACAATAGACCACTCCAGGGAATGACCCTTATTGGTAACCTTACAGTCAAGTCGCACATAAGTACAGCACTGTGCAAAAGTCTGAGACCACCCATATGTGTGTGTGTGTGTGTGTGTGTGTGTATATATATATATATATATATATATATATATATATATATATGCTGATACATGAATAGCTTATACTGCTAGTGATCTTTGACTTCTGCAGAGTATCATATATATAGATATTTTCTACACATTCTTTGTGCTACGCCCACTTGTACACATACACACATACCCTACACATAGCTGTAGACAAGCATCCACATGAACATTCCCAGACATCCATTTATGCAATTTGTCTATTTGTATAATCATGTTATTATTCACTCTATCACCCATAAATGTCCTGCTAAACACTTTTTCATTGGTATTGTCATCGTTAATACCATTGTATCATTGCCACTGTTGCATCTATTATTGTTACTGTCTCTGTAGTTGTTCATGTACTGTTATATTTGCTGATATTTTATAATACTCAAAATAAATTTCAGGGGGTTTTTACATTTAAAATTAACCTGATTGTTTTCTTTTTCTTTTAGTTCTAAAATTGTTGCAGTGAAATCACATTGCATTTTTGCACCCCTATGCAAGACACATTCTTCATCATAGATACCACTGACTATGAAATACAGT